ACTTGTCAACCAGAAAAATGTGATTTATCACATGTTCCAACAAAAACACTGAAAATCACAGGGAAGTCAGAGAAAAACCGAATCTCTTGGTCAACTTGTCTTTTGGGGACCCACATTGACCAAGTTGGCACCTTCTTCATCTTCTGCCACTCTGATCCGCTGTGTTCCTTCTTTCCCCAATACGCGTTTCTGCTTGATTCGAGTTTGAATCCAGCTTTGGCATAGCACCCCCGGGCTCGCTCCTGGGTTCTTGCAGTGATATGGCCACCCGGTTGGGTAGATCGCTGGGGTTCTCAAGCCCAAGAAATGGAAGAAGAACAGGATGAGATGTGTACATATATATATAATATAAATATGACGATAAAGTGGACCATCCCTGGTAGGAACCCAAATCTATCTTATTTGCCGGGATATCATCATGGTTGGCTGATGGCTTGGGGAGTGAGCCGTTAAATACTTGAAACACTAAAAAGGGCACCATGAATGACGAATTGTGATCATCTCCAGGGCCTCCAGGAAGAAAAGACAATAGACATTGTTTCAATCCCAAAGTTCAGTTTAAAAACCTTTCAATGGTAAACGTCAAACACCTTTCTGCACAGCCGAGTTACATTCGCCTTCAGGACACTGAGGTATGTTTGGTTGCATTTCCATCCGATTCCTCAGGACAACAGCATGGTGGTTTCGCGCTGTCGATGGATGAAAGCGAAGATAGGATGCACAGTAGGTTGCAGGATGTTATAGCGACTGGCAGGGTCTGAAAATCAAAACGTGAAACGCGAAACGCATATCCCTCTATCATATCTCCACACTTATAGGGGTATCAGTTCCTCAATATTTACAAATTTCAGCGATCGTCTCTGCAACGTGCTCCTTTTGTGGGGGGGACTGGATCCAAAAAAATACGAGCACCATGACTTGATGTTATTTCATGTGGCCGTGGCCCAACACTTGAATGTCTTCATACCCATGCGTGTGGGAAATAAATCAGCAGCCAAGCATCGATGGCTATGCTCTTCAGCTGCTTTTAGCAGCAAATTTTCACACCCTCGATTCATATGCGTTTCATTTACCTTGGCGAGAGGATAAATTTGGGCCACTGAAGTTATATTCCCAACATAATCCGACAATGTGGAGAAAAACAATGCCTATCTGAAACTCGCAAGCAGTGTAGCTAGAACATCCAAGAAGCCTTCACATGCGATATATGCAGTTCCTCTTCTTGCGGTGCAAGGCGCGCCTTAGGAACCAGGATGGGCACATGGGAGAGATCAAGTGCATACATATGCGTTTTATTAAGGACCAATAAACATATATAATATAAAACAATATAAGATAATATAGTATAACCTAAGATGATATATAAAATAAAAATAATAATATAATGAAATGTAATATAATACAATGTAATATAACACATAATAAGATAATATAATATAATATAATACAATATAATATAATATAATACAATATAATACAATATAATATAATATAATACAATATAATATAATATAATACAATATAATATAATGTAATATAATGTAATATAATATAATATAATATATATAATATATATAATATATATAATATATATATAATATATATAATAAAATAAAATATAATATGATATAAGATAATAAAATATACTATAATCTACCAAAAAAATTAAATACAATAAAAAAAATAATAAAATATAATTTAATATAATATATTAAAATATAATAAGAAAAATACAAGAAATTTAAATAAAAAATATGATAATTTTAAAAAATATTGAAATAAAAAAACATGATATAACATAATATGATATTTAAAAAATGTAATACAATATAATAGAATAAAGTACAATACATTTTAAAAAATAATATACGAATTAGAAAAATAATATAATTTAATATAGTAAAAACACACCAAAACATGATATAGAACAGAAAAATATATAATCCAAAAAATTAAAAGAATGTATATTTTATTTTTCTGCAAAATATTGAATACAATATACAAAAGAGAAATAGAATATATTAAAATATATTTATATGGTAAATAATATCAAATCTAAAATATATAATAGAAAGTAAAAAATATTTAATATATAAAATACTACGTATATATAAAGTATAAAATAAACCTTTACAAAAGTACAATAAATAGTATACAACCTATTTAGAGAATATGAAAAACAAAAACAGTATATATTGTGTCTTGCCTAACCTCTGTAACAGTGGCACGAAGTAGGGCACGATTTGGTGCACGAAGAAAAGTATTAAAAAAAAACACGGTTTGGTGCACGAAGAAAGCTCAAAAAAAACACGATTTGGTGCACGAAGAAAACCAGAAAAAAAACACGATTTGGTGCACGAAGAAAACGACAAAAAAGCTCGAACTAGAGCACGATTTGGTGTATGAAGCAAAATCATCAAAAAGAAAAGCATGAACTGGGGCACCATTTGGTGCACGAAGAAAACCACAAAAAAACACGATTTGGTGCACGAAGAAAACCACAAAAAAGCACGATTTGGTGCACGAAGAAAGCTCAAAAAAAGCACGATTTGGCGCACGAAGAAAACCAGAAAAAAGCACGATTTGGTGCACGAAGAAAACCACAAAAAAGCACGATTTGGTGCACGAAGAAAACCGTGAAAAAAAACGTAATTTTTTGGTGCTCCATTTGAAGCATGTTTAGTAAGAAATTGTTTTAACGACTATTACAGAGGTTAGGCAAGACACAAAGTATATAATTATATATATATAAAGAAAAAACCATTGTGATATAATATGCAAAATATCAGAAATCAAACACCATAAAACATTAAAAAACAACAAAATGTAGTAAAAAAACAATGGCATACTATAGAAAAAGTATATAATACAACATTATGAAATATAGAAAATAACAATCTAATCAAAAAACATATAGCATAATAAAATACAATAAAACAAAATATAATACAATTTAATGTGATCTGATTTAATATATAATATATATACAAACAATAGTCAAATATTGAAAAATAGTAATAAAAGACAATAAACCAACTATAAAAGCATAAAACAAAATAATGGATAACACAATATAATCGAATATTTAAAAATGTGAAAATAAAAAAATATATTCAATACAAAAAACAAAATATAATATGATATAATATGGTATAATGTGATATGATATGACATAAAGGTTTTTATCTTTAGTTTATATGTGTAAACATTTGCAAATATGTATGTATATATACATATGTTGCGAAACGTAGACATTTGATCAGACCCTAAACAGCATGAAGTGAACATGTCCTCCTCTCTTGAAGCCATAGCCGATCATCATGTGATCCCATGTTCCAGCAGGATACTTCACCCTTGTTATCACAGGTGTTTCAGGCTCAGGGAGCCAAATAGGAGAAGTGGCGGGCGGGATCACACCTTGCGGTTGGCCATTGGCATTTGGCGGTGACTTGCAGCTGTGGACAGCTGACGTTTGCATAGGTGGTGCAACGGGTGGCAAAACAAGCTCCGCGGCCGCGACAGGTGACTTTGGTGGTTTGCTTGGGATCAGGGAGCCTCTGTTACCAATTCACATTGGTAGCGGAGCTCTCTGCATCCTTAGCAGAGGGCATCCAGGACCTTGCAAGACTGGTGCAACAGCTGTCATAGGGATTTTGAGGGCATTGTCTGGAGGGTTGCATTGACCATGTCCGAAGCTTCTGGAGGTAGAGAAACTCAGGTGAATATTTCGAATCAACTGGCGTCGTTTGTTCCCAATTTTCGTCCCAGCAAAGATGATCTGCAAATGTACCAACAAAAGGTTGAAATGGTCCTATCGGGGTGGCCTGAATCCAAGCTATCAGAACTTGTGACACGATTGATTTTGACTACAACTGGATCGGCGTTTGCACTGTATCACGAGGAGTTGTGCACAAATGAAGCCAAGTCAATTCACAAGCTCATTGAATATCTTGGTGGCCACTGGGGCCAAACAGGCCTTGAACGTCGTTTTGCTGATGCTTAGAAAGCCTTGTACCAATGTACCCAACAGTCAGATGAGAGTCATGATTCCTTTTTGGCTCGTGCGGGCGTGTTGTGGTCAAAGCTGAAGTCTCAAAAGTTGCAAATAGATGACCTCCAGGCGTATATCACGCTCAGAGGTGCCAATCTCCCAAGCGAGGACAAAAAGCGCATCATTCTGGGCTCGGACAACACCCTTCAAGGCAAGTTGACAATCAACAGGGTGAGGGAAGCAGCGCGAATGTTAGGAACCTCATTCTTTCAAGAGATGACTGGTCAAGCTCGCAAAAATCAGAAAACAAAGGTCTATGACTCCCACACACTCATGATGGAGGATGGGGACACTCATGGAGAACATGATGAACCAGTCAATGCAGCCCATGGTGGGGACTGGCATTAAGATGAGGTGCTTGAAGGCTGGCCGAGGGAGATGATGACGCCATTTTGTGGCGGATTTCGAAGCAGCGGCAAGTGAGGTCCTTCAGACTGATGACGATCTCTCGACAGCCTACAGCACATATGCCGAGGCCAGGCGCAAGCTCAATGAAAAGGTGCGGGCACGTGGTTTCTGGCCACTGGGTAAGGAAAAATTCAAGATGTCAAAGGGTCGTGGAAAAGGCCGACCATCATGGAACAAGAAATCCCTTCAGCAGAGGATCTTAGAGTCAAACGGGCGCCTGTGTGGAAAAAGAGGTCACTGGAAGTCAGTGTGCCCCAACAAGAACCAGGGTTCTTCCAGCGGTTCTCATGCCGCATCAACTACAGCCGGCGCTGATGATGCCATGCCAGCTGAGTTTCTTGAGCTTCCCCTGGTGAGTGGGTCAGGGACGAAGGACAGTCGGCCAATCCAATCGAATCATGCTTTGTACAGACAGTTTTTCAAATGAGTGTTTTATTGGGCGAAGTGCCAGCATCGATAAACCTGCGAAGAACATAAGAACATGAGGGATATCCGGGAAAGATGTCGTATGGAGGGCAATAATAACTCCAATTCTAAGTCAAAAGTTCAGTCCCTTGTGCACAGGATTGAGATGAAGCTGCAGACCCGTGACAAGCATCCGTGCCAAATGCCAAATCAAGTAGCACATTTTGTGCCCATCAGATCTGAGAGATGCCAGCCGAAACCGTATGCCTGTGAAGGCCTGTCCGAAAGTGACAGGACAGCAACCGAATGCACCAGCGGCGAGTCCATTCCGTGCCACTGCAGTAGCCGAAGCTGACACATGGTTTGCATCCCATGACACATGAGGTATCTTGGATGCAGGAGCAACAAAAACAGTAATGGGGAGTAACCAGTCAGAGGGGGCGAGAGGGGGCGAGAGGGGGGGTCCAAACGAGGGGCTTTGGGATAGGGGGGCGAGAGGGGGCGAGAGAGGGGCGGTGGGGGAGAGACGGGGGGGAGAGGGGGGGCCAGAAGCGAAAATTTTAACTATGGGGGGGGGCGAGAGGGGCGGAGCGTGGGCTGGCGACGTTTTGGGCGACGGAGAGGGGGCAATGAGGGCCGACAGAGGGTCAGAAGAAATTTTATCATGGGATACGACCCTTTAGGGTTGGGGGGGGGAACATTCATGGAATCAGGAAGAAGAAATTTTATCATGGGATACGACCCTTTAGGGTTGGGGGGGGGAACATTCATGGAATCAGGAAGAAGAAATTTTATCATGGGATACGACCCTTTAGGGTGGGGGGGGGGAACATTCATGGAATCAGGAAGAAGAAATTTTATCACGGTATACGACCTTTTAGGGTGGGGGGGGGAACATTCATGGAATCAGGAAGAAGAAATTTTATCATGGGATACGACCCTTTAGGGGGGGGGGGGGGACACTCATGGACTTAGGAAGAAGAAATTTTTATCTGGGAACGACCCTTTCGGTGGGGGGGGGAACATTCATGGAATCAGGAAGAATAAATTTCATCATGGGATACAACCCTTTAGGGCGGGGGGGGGACACTCATGGAATCAGGAAGAAGAAATTTTATCATGGGATACAACCCTTTAGGGTAGGGGGGGGACACTCATGGAATCAGGAAGAAGAAATTTTATCATGGGATATGACCCTTTAGGGTGGGGGGGACACTCATGGAATCAGGAAGAATTTTATCATGGGATACGACCCTTTAGGGTGGGGGGGGGACACTCATGGAATTAGAAAGAAAAAAAATTATCATGGGATACGACCCTTTAGGGTGGGGGGGCACTCATGGAATTAGGAAGAAAAAAATTATCATGGGATACGACCCTTTAGGGTGAGAGGGGAACATTCATGGAATCAGGAAGAAGAAATTTATCATGGGATACGACATGATACGACCCTTTAGGGTGGGGGGGAACACTCCTGGAATTAGGAAGAAAAATTTTATCATGGGATACGACCCTTTAGGGTGGGGGGAGGCATTCATGGAATCAGGAAGAAGAACTTTATCATGGGACACGAGACGGGGTGGCTCTGGGGGTCCCCCCAATATAGGGAGGCGAGAGGGGGCGCGAGGGGGTGATAAGGGGCGAGAGGGGGGCGAGAGGGGATGGAGATGGGCGACAGGGCGAGAGGGGGCCAGAGGGTCAGAAGAAATTTGAACATGCTACGACCCTTTAGGGTGGGCGGGGACACTCATGGAATTAAAGACATTTTATCATGGCATACAATCCTTTACGGTGGGGGGGGAAACATTCATGGAATCAGGAAGAAGAAATTTTATCATGGGATACGACCCTTTAGGGTGGGGAAGGGGGCATTCATGGAATCAGGAAGAGGAATTGTTTTGGGGGTCCCCCCCAAATATAGGGAGGCGAGAGGGGGCGAGAGGGGGAGACAGGCATTTCTTCATGGCATACAATCTTTTACGGTGGGGAGGGAGACACTCATGGAATCAGGAAGAAAAAAAAATATCATGGGATACGACCCTTTAGGGTGGGGGGGGAACATTCATGGAATCAGGAAGAATTTTATCATGGGATACGACCCTTTAGGGTGGGGGGGGGGGACAGGACACTCATGAATCAGGAAAGGAAAAAAAATATGCTGGGATACGACCCTTTATGGGTGGGGGTGGCATCATGGAAGCAGGAGAGGGGAAATTTTATCAATGGGACACGGACGGAGGGGGTGGCATTGGGGGAACAACCAAGTAGAGCGGAGGAGAGGAGGACGGGGCGGAGACGGGGGCGCACAAGGGCGAGAGGGCGGCGAGAGGGGATGGAGATGGGCCACAGGGCGAGAGGGGGCCAGAGGGTCAGAGGAAATTTTAACATGCTACGACCCTTTAGGGTGGCGGGGGGGACACTCATGGAATTAGGAAGACGACATTTTATCATGGCATACAATCCTTATACGGTGGGGGGGAACATTCATGGAATCAGGAAGAAGAAATTTTATCATGGGATACGACCCTTTAGGGTGGGGAAGGAGGCATTCATGGAATCAGGAAGAGGAAACTTTATCATGAGACACGAGAGGCGGTGGCTTTGGGGGTCCCCCCCAATATAGGGAGGCGAGAGGGGGCGAGATGGGGAGACAGGCATTTTATCATGGCATACAAACTTTTACGGGGGGGGGGGACACTCATGGAATCAGGAAGAGAGAAAAAAAATTATCATGGGATACGCCCCTTTAGGGTGGGGGGGGGAACATTCATGGAATCAGGAAGAGGAAACTTTATCATGGGACACGAGAGGGGGTGGCTTTGGGGTCCTCCCAATACAAGGAGACGAGAGGGGGCCCGGGCGAAAGGTGAGAGGGCGCG